TGGGAAGCCAACTACGTGTGAGGCCTTAGCGGTACACTGCACGCGCGACGCGTTGGACGTCTCGGAGGGGAAGGACTAGATGCGGCGGTCTGCTGTGGGGCAGACCGTACCTCGACAGACGGTGGGGCAGAGGGAACTGCGTCTGTCGTGTCCTGAGGATCCTCTGGTGGGGTAGCCAAACGGGCAAACCGCGACTCGGTGGTTGGGAAGCCAGCTACGTGCGAGGCCTTAGCGGTACACTGCACCGTGGCTAGCTGGGTAGGGCTGGCCGGGCGGGGCCGGGGGGGGGAATGAGATCGGCGTTGACGAGAAATGTCAGTGTAGTGTTGATCGAGGGCGGCATGGTATGGAGATTGTAAGGAGGTGTGACCATTTTGGCGGCAACGAAGGCATGCGCGACGGGCCTCGAGGGTGGCACGCTCCTGAAGGGATAGGGTGCCGCAAGGAAGGACAAAACCCTGCGGGAGGTCTATCTGAGGAACTGTGAACGTACCTGTGCAACCTGACTGCGCGCACGACCCATGGTGGACATGGCCATCTGCAGGCGCTCGGCCACAAGGACAATGTCGTCATCCAAGTGATACTGGATGAGGTCTCGGAGCACGATGTCCTCGGGGGCGTCCCCAAGAGTAGGGTCAGTCCAGGCTGAGGCGTCCTCGCCGTACTCTAGAGAATTGTAGCGCTGAGAGAATGGCGCTCCAGGTCAAGCTGGTTGGCGAAAGTGGCCGGCGAAGGAGGATCGATCGCGCGTGGTGCGGTGCGAGTGGGTGACGGCGACGGTGGATCGCGAAGAAGATGGGGTGTCGGAGAACGACTCCGCATCTTTAGGTACTGTCGAGCAGCCTCGTAGGCCTGCTCGGAGGAGGCGAAGCTCTGTTGCCAAAGCTCGATGCGGTCTACGAACCTGGTGGTCAAAAGAGCCTCAGGTAGAAGTGCCTCATCGCAAATGAGGCGAGCGTCCTAAAACATTTTGATGTGATGCTCAAGATCGGCTGGTGCGGAGGACCCGCGCCACTGCGTCTGGGTGACCCGTTCTGAGGCGTCGGTCGCATCGTGGAGAGTGCCGTAGCAGTCATGGAGGAAGGCGGTGAAATCCACGAGAGTGGGAGCCTCACCTTAGCGATTACGATGGGTATAATAGTTCTCCTGTGTGGAGAACGCGCTGCCTCGCAATTTAGTTGTGAGCGCGGAGCACCACAACGCATGACTAGTGTTAGTCGGTGTCAGCGCACGTGTGGCAGCCTGCAACCAGTGCGACACACGCATTGTACCATTGAAGTCGGGTATGTGCGACAGACGCACAACAGTGGGACTGCTGTGCAGACGGCGAGGGGAGAGGGGTTGATGGGCCTGCACTGCGGCGACAAATGTCGAGGCCGGTGCAGAGGTAGAAGTGGTGGCAGGCTGAGAGCCGGGGCTGTTGGTGGAAGGTCCGAGAGACGTGGAGGCAACGACCGCAACTTACTGTGACAGAGTATCTAGGCAGGCGGGTAGAGGGGGGGAGCCGGTCGAGGGAAACGAGCCGGCAAGATAGAGGTGGGAGGGGCGGTGTGGGAAGAAGAAGGGTGAGCAGCCTGTGAAGGGTCAGACTGTCTCAAGGAGAGAATCTCCGCCTGGAGCACCCATTGGATGCGTGGGGTCCGAGGTGGAGGAGGCGAAGAGAGTACCCTAGCGGGGGAGGAAGAACTACGGACTGTAGTGCCTCGACCGGTGCAGGAAGCTTGGAAGCAACACCGGGGTGAGTAGATTAAATTGCATGGCCAGATGCCGGTATCTGGGCGACAACACATGTGGGAGTGGCCGAAGCGGCAGGGGAGGCAGGAGCGGCGGGGGCCAATGAATGTGATGCAACAGACGGTATGGTCTGAGCGGCAGCAACACTCACCGTTGCCGAGGAGGACGAACTACCACATCTCCGTCTTTGGAGTCGTAGAGAGCCGAACTTTGAGCCGGTAGGGAATGGGGTCTGAGAGCGGTGGACAGAGCGATGAGGAGAACCCTTGAGGTGGTGAAATTCAAGGGCGAGCACATTGACTTGCCTCTCCAGGGGCGAGCGCATCGAGTGGCGCTTGCAGAGGTGCAAGGAGAGACGAAGGAACAACGCGAAGGTCTGTGGGGTCCACCGAGTGCTGACCCTGGACCGTCGGGTGGGTGGGCGCCTGAGAGATGGAGGGCACCGCGGCGATCTCCTTAGCTATAGTCCTGCCCAGGGTAGTGGGCGCATAGGGGGAAGACATGGCGGGAGGKGGAGAAAAAGGKGGGGAAGGAGATGGGTTATGGYGTGGGGATAGGGGACTACTGGTGAGAGGGAGGGGACCACGGGAGTGGAGTGGGTGATCGTGAGTCGGCTCACTTCGTGACCAGCGGGTCACGCGCGAGATGGTGGCGCGAATCCGCTCGAAGGGAGAGGAGCCGTTGGAATCCAGGGTGCCCGACGGGAGAAAGCGGGAGAGGAGGGTGGTTAGGAGAAACCCTACACTCTAGAAAAACCCTAAGAGAACCCTAACAGGGGTTTAGATGGTTCGGGTAGGGTAGCGGAATCCGCTCGAAGGGAGAGGAGCCGTTCGGGTCCAGGGTGCCCGACGGGAGAAAGCGGGAGAGGAGGGGATTAGGAGAACTCTAAACCCTAAAAAACAACTAAGAAAACCCTAACCGGGGCTTAGGTGGTTAGGGTAGGGTAGCGGCGACCTAATCAAGAAAAGAAGATAGTAACCRKGGRGGGRSGGGGGGGGGGGGGGGGGGGGGGGGAGGGAGRAAATAAAATAAATAGTGAAATTTCCATGGTAACCGCCCGGACGTCCGGACCGGGTTCCAGACAGTCCGGTGTCTGGTGTTCGGTGTCCGGTCCCCATGTTTGGATGGAGGCCCCTGGGGAAAAAATCAAAAGAAAAAATGGGGCGGTCCAGGACGTTTGTCGGGTCCTAGCCGCCCCTCGAAAAATAACGGGGTGATTTTTAAGTGTCCTCTCACCCCACAGGACATGGCCTAGAGGTCCAGACACAAGACACTGCAGGTTTTTTAGGTGGCAGGTTTCACACAAGCCCGAGCAATTTCAAAGCGCCCGTTTCGACGTGGCGCCCGCCGCTCCTGCCTGTTAGGGAAGAGAGAGAGAGAGAGAGAGAGAGAGAGAGAGAGAGAGAGAGAGAGAGAACTGACAGTGCTGTCAGTCTGAAGACTGTGAGGTTCTGAATTGAACTGCGAAGTTCGAACTTTATATATGAAGTTATGAACTTAAATTACTAAATCCAAAGATCAAAGTTCAAAGTTAATCATACTTTTCTTTTTTTTAATTCTCTGTTTCTTTAGTCTTGTGCATGCTTTGCACTGTTTGCAACTTTACATGTCTGCGAGTTAAATGTCCTGGTTGATTTGCTGCAAGACACGTGCTCTGCTGCCTGAACTACAAAGTGCAAAGCAGGTAAGTGCTTGCCAACACCCCCACCCAACCTCCCCCTCACCCCTATCTTTTTTTTTTTTTTTTTTTTTTTGTGTTCGGACATTTTTGCACCCGGGGATCCGGTGTTCGGTGATGACCGAATCACCAGGCAGTTCGGACTGGTCCAGACACTGGTCTGGAAGACAGTCCGAAGTGTCCGGGTGTGCGGTCACCATGGAAATTTAGAGATAAAAATAAAAGAAAATAAATAATAAAAATAATGTAAACAAAATGTGAAGAGAGAAGTTTTTTTTTTTTTTTTTGGAATTTTCGGCTGCATTTCCCTACCCCCCAAGGGGTCAAGAATGTGCCAAGAGGAAGGAGAGACCAAGATAGCACAAAAGTTCAAAATGCCGCAAATTATAAATTTCATAAAAATAAATAAAGAAATAATAAATAAATAAATAAATAAATAAATAAATAAACAAATAAGTAGATGAGGAGGTGAAGAGAAACTAAGTGTCGGATTTCTCAAAAATTTCGGCAGCATTTTGTTACCCCCATGGGGTCGAAGTGTGCCGTCAAGAAGAAAGGCTAAGTAAAATGAGAAGATTTTGCCAGCACTTCGCTACCCCGGTCAAAGGGGTCAAAATGTGTTGAATAAGTAAAAGAAGAAGAAAAGAAAGCAAAAAAAATAGAAAATTTCGGCAGCACTTCGGTACCCCCACGGGGACAAAATGTGTGCCGAAAGCAAGAATGACTAACTCCTAATCAGATTTGAGGGTGCCGCTAAGAAATTCGAATTTTCAGAATAAATAAAAAATAAAATGAAATAAATCAGAAAGTGAGAAAAGAAGGTGGGGAATAAGATAATTCGAATTTTTAGAAAAAAGAGGAAATATAAATCAAAAGAAACTAGGAATATTCTGACGACCGGCCGGTCGCCCGGGCAGGTCCGACGACCGGGTCACCCGGTCGTGTGAAGCGCATTGGGGGAGATGCACGAATTCGGGGTCATTTCAAATTTTGGGGATTTCGGGATTTGGAGGGAGAGGGGGGGGGGTTAGGGGGGGTGAGGAGGGATGCAGCACACACAACACTCGCACAACATACACAGCACTCACGCAGCATCCACACAGCACTCGCAGCATACACAACACTCAAGCAGCATCAACGCAGCACACAACAGGAGGCACACAGCGCACACAGCACTCACGCACCATACACACGCTACACTCGCATAGCACACAACACGCGACAAAAGGCACGCAGCACACGACAAAAGGCACGCAGCACACACGACACTCACACAACACTGACACAGCATCCACACAACACACACACCACGCATAACACATGCAGAGCACGCACAACACACACACAATATGCACACACCAGTGACACCACACACACAACACGCACAAAAACACAATACTGACAATTCTTAAAACCGAATCGGTTTGATTGGTCAGTCTTGTCTCTCTCGCTCTCTGTCTCTGTCTGTGTCTCTCTCTCTCTCTCTCTCTCACACACACACACACACACACACACACACACACACGCACACATGTTTCTAAGTTTATGCCTCTCTCTCTCTCTCTCTCTCTCTCTCTCTCTCTCTCTCAGCTACTAACTCCATTTGTTTTCGGAGTCACAGGCAGCGTCGCCATCATTGCTGTCGTCCCCCGAAGCCTCGTCGTCGTCATCATCTTCAATCACATTTCGTGTCTTCTTTGACTTCCGCTGTCGCTGTGTTCTTCGGGGAGGCAGTCCGGCCGGTGGATAGACTGTCTCAGGTCGAGCTTTTCGAGGTTTTCCCCGACCTCTCTTCGGTCCAGCGGTTGTTGCGGTCTCTTCTACCACCTTCCTCTTCCTACCCACTGTGCTCTTGTCGAGGTTGTCGTGTTGCAGGTCGTCAATCAACGGTGGGAAGTCCGGCTGGGACTGTTGAGAAGGCACAACGGGAGGGGGGGCTGAAGTGCTTGCATTTGGTCCCCTTTTGTAGACAACAGCCACATCTGGCCTGCTCCCTTCATCACGGCGGTCCTTGTCTTCTTCCTCCAGCGGTTCGGTTGAATGAATGTGTGTGTGGGGCAAGTCCTCTGTTGGGTGGTCTCCACATGCACTTGCTGTCGCTGCCGTTTCAGTGTGTTGGCTGTCGGCCACAATGGGCGCAACTCCGACTGCTGCCCCGCATCCTCCCCCTCCTGATCCGCCCCCGACTTCCTCCGTTCCTTTCTCTCAGTCCGTCGGGGAACAGCTACACGTCTCGCTGCATCCTCCTCGATACGCTGATTGACCATGACGCGATCTCTCTTCGCAAGTGCTTGTGCCATCGCTCTATCCGCCTCGTCGTTATCGTGTGCGGGAAGTTCTCTGTCTCTATTTCGAGGTACCAAGAACTCGAGGTCACTATCAAAGTGACCTGTTTCCGGTCTCATTGTCAGAGCGTCAGCGTCCTCGTCGTCGTCGTCATCGAAGTCGTCATCTGGCTCCACATCCGAGCGCAGACGGAAATGCATGTCCTCATCCCGATCCTCCTCCTCTTCTTCGTCCTCTCCATACTCTTCTGCTTCCACCAGCGCTTTACCCTTCGCATTGGCCGGAGCTGCCACATCCGAGCGCAGACCGAAATCCATGTCCTCATCCCGATCCTCCTCTTCTTCGTCCTCTCCATACTCTTCTGCTTCCACCAGCGCTTCACCCTTCGCATAGGCCGGAGCTGCCAAAGACTCCTCTTTACTTTTCTTCCCCTTCCCCTTCCAAACCAAATCCTCGCCATCATCGCTGCTGTCGCTAGCGCTGGAGTCGTCCAACCTCCCGACCTTCGGAATCCTCCCATGAGGAGCTTTCCTCAGACGATCCCTCCGAGCCACCTCGTCCGCTGTTGGCTGCATGTCGTCGGGAAGAATATCAGGATCTGCAATTGGTGGAGGTGCATCTGCACCGAAGAAATCGGCCCACATGTCGATGAAGCCCCCGCCTTCCTCTTCTTCACCTTCAACAGCTGAAGGTTCCAGTGCACATAAACAATCTTGTTGATTGTGTCACTTGACAGCTGGTTTCTCTTCTCATGGATGAGGTCCAGCGTCGACCAGTTGTGCTCGCATGGTGTCGCCGTGCTCCACATCGCGGTCACACGCGCAGCAATGCGCTGCAGTTTCTCGTGACTCTTCCCATGGCATCCCCAGCAATCTGATGCGGTGCGCTTGTCGAGGTTGGAGTCAAACTTAGCGAAATCAGTCCAGAAACTGTCTTGCTTCTCAAGGGGCAGACTCGAGTTGCCCTGTGGCTCTTTGTGGAATGTCTTCAAGTCATCCCATAGGTCGAGATGCTCCTTGCAACCCCATGTCGCCCCGTCTTCGCATTGTGACAGCAGAAAGATCATGGCATTTTGCAAAAGCAGGGACTTGGGGCCGTTCATCCAACGAGGGTCCCTCTTCGACGGATTGAAGAGGAAGTTCGCTGCGTGCACCGGCTGGCGCATCATTTTGCAGCGCCTCCCCACCTTCTTCGCGATGGACTCCCGCCGCGCAGGTGTCAAGCTGGGAATGGAGGTCATCTTCTTTATCAATGCCTCCTCAAAGCCCCACAGTGAATATGGGGCAGTGCCGCTCTTGTCCATCTTTCGCAAGAGATCATAGACTGGGGACATCACATTCACTGCTGCCTCCACCTCCCTCCACCAATCATCAGAGCGGACAGTCATGGAGACTGTGTTAGCGGTGGTGCGCTTCTTTCTCGAAGCCCACTTCACGTCCAACCACCCTCCTACCATCATTGCCTTCAAGACCTTCTTCCTGTCTAACAGCCTCTCCAACATCATGTACACCGAGGCGAAGCGCACCTCCGTGGGCATGATGAGTGTCCTGGTCCTCTCCATCTCCGAGCAGTCAAGGAACAACTGCGCCGTCTTGTGATGATTCCGGATACACTTCACAATCGTCTTGCCCCTCTTGTAGAGGTCATACATCCATGGCTCGTCGCTGATCCCCTTAAGAAGCAAGTTCAAGCAATGTGCGGCGCATGGAACCCATGGAATCCGTGAAATGCTTCGATCTGTTCGCCGCCTCAACAATCTGGCCGCGTGTTTGTTGACCTCCGCGTTGTCCGTGCACAAAGCGTTCACTCTGTGCACTCCAATCTCGCGGATCACACCCTCCCACAATTTCGCCAATGGAATCGCCATCTTCTTCCTCTTCAACATATCGACAACCTTCAGCAATACTGCTCCGGCCCCGCCAACAATAATGAAGTTCATGATGGGCCGGAACTTGCGATCCGTGCACCCATCCGTGATGAGCGTGCACCCGGTGATATCCCATGTCTCCATAACCGGCCTCATCGCCTCTCGCGTCTGGTCGTACGCGACGTCGAGGACCACCGTCGCCATTTGCATTCTATTGGGCATCTTCACTCTCTGTTTCTTTTCCCCTAGCTCCAAGTACAGTTTATGCAGCTCCTGTGTTTTCTCCCCCGTGACGTAGTTGAATGGAGTCCCATGCTCGTACAAGTGGAACCCCCAAGCAATGTCCAAGCGCTGCTGCGATGAGTTCTCAGTCCAACGTCTGATAGAGGCTTGCTTCAAGTTCGCGGATGGCCTTTGGGTCGCTGATTCGCTGCCTGACGGGTCTTCCGCTCTCTCTCGCCTGACGTGTCCGTCATCCGTCACCATGCCCAGACCGTCCCGACTCTCGCCGACGGCCTCTCTACCGGGGGCAGTCGGAGGCAACATAAACTTTGCCAAATTGTCCTTGTGGACGTGCTCTAACACCGGTTGTGGATCTGCTCCGTCAGCAATGTTGTTTTCCAATCGGTATAGCTGTATCATTCTTCGTGTGATGGGGCAATCGATCTTCGCCCCCTTGCTGGCGAGGATATGCAGGATCTCCCCGGTCCTCTTCGCACACGGTTCCCTTTTCGCCGTGAAATGTTCGACGACACGTGTGTAAGATGCAGTCCACACCCTGCCACACGACTTGCACTTGTGCCAACAGTTCGCATAACCTTTGGGTTCCGCCTCCTGTCTGCGCAGAACCCATCTATACGCTGGTTTTATCTTCTCCAACTCCATCTGCTTTGAATTTGATGCAGGGTCGAATGGCGGTTTCTCATGGCTGACCTTCACCTTGCCCTTGGGCTTCCTCTCGCCTTTGCCCTTGCTGCCACCACCTGCCTCGCTGCAACCTGCATCGTTGCTGTTCGACGGCCCACATGAGGAAGACATGTCGTCCGGGCAGAAGAAGAAGAAGAAGAAGAAGAAGAAGAAGAAGAAGAACGATGTGGAGAAAAAGGTCGTAGAGCAGCGGAAATGGAGGTAATGGTGGAGGGAAATGATGATGCAGGGGGGGCAGCGAGGTTCTCTCTCTCTCCCTCTCTCTCTCTCTCTCCTCACACACACACACACACACACACACACACACACACATGCCGGTAGAGGGAGGTGGTGATGGGCGGAGAGATGGGATGATGGTATAGGGAGATGGTGATGGGAGGAGAGATGGGATGATGGTGTAGGGGGGGCAATGGTGGATGGAGGTGGTGATGGGAAGAGAGAAGGGGCGATGGTGGATGGAGGTGGTGATGGGAGGAGAGA